TTCCTGCACGAGACCTTCTGATGATCCATAGATCTTCCTGCACGAGATCTTCTGATGATCCAGAGATCTTCCTGCATGAGCCCTTCTGAAACAGTGGCTGATGTTCTTCAGACCAGAACACATTTTCCAGCCTGCTTTTGGGAGACTTGATATATTTTTTTACGTTTAGCCAGAAGTCTTCTCCAGCCCACAGTCCAAACTGATGGAGAACACCAGAGATAAATCTCATATGTAGAACCCAACCAGAACGTTCTGCAGCGGTGCTGTAGGCCTCATCCCTGCAGTTCCTGTCTCATGTTCTCACCAGTTTTAGAGCTTGTCGGTCCCTGATGGCCGTCTTCACTGAGACACATGGCAGATTTATTGCTGGGGAGTTTCCATAACGTTGCTGCTGCTGATGCTTCCTGAGGGAATGCTGGCTAAATGTGAGGAGAAGCTGCTGATCAGTCACATTAGATCATGCTAACTCAACAGATGCTTCAACAAAGTTTTACTTCGGGCATGTGCACAGATGCAACTAGCTCATTGTTTACAAATTGTTCCATTAAAGGTTTGAAAATCTTTGAAATTATTTCTCGTGGTCCAATTTTTGTACATAACAAAATCCTGTCATTTTAACAGAGGAGCGTGTAAACAAACATCTACAGACGTGTCTGTTAACACCGTGACCTTTGACCCTTTATTCTAAGCGCAACCATCTCAGATCTTTAATATTTTATCTAATGTTTAATTCTTCTCTGTGGCTGCTTTGAAGAACAATGAAAACCTGACGCTGGGAGGAGTCGTCCAGTCTCTGACTCACCTGAGAGGGTAGAAACGTCAGAGCGTGCTCGATGAGAAGACGCATCAGTCTCTTTGAGTAGAAGATGAACTCGTCTCGGCTGGTTTCTCTGTTCCTGTAGGAGAGCACAACTGTTCTACCACCTCAGAGGTTCTGTGGAGAGGACCTGGAGCTGTGCAGGGACACGTGGCGGTACCTGATGATGGTGTGCAGACCTCGGACCTGCGGCACGCTCTCCAGCACGCTGAGAGTCTGCGGCAGCGGCTGCGTCTGCTGGACGGAGGCCAGGAGCGCCCTGAGGACAAGGATGTTGGGTTTTAAAGGCTCGGATTACTGAGACTCATCATGTGGAGCGACAGAGCAGAAACATGTTTCAGCATACCTGACACTGAGCTCACGCTGCATGACGAGAAGACAAACACAAAGAAATATGAGTGAGCAAAAAGATAAAAAGGAAAAGTTTGGACCGGAACAACACATCTGAGACTCAACTCCTCCACACTGAGTGGTGATAAAACTGCTAAAGAAGACTACTGTGTGGCTTTGAAACTTTAACATTTAACTTTAATAATTCAAACAAGTATTTAATGACCCTGCTGGTCAATAAATATCAGCATTTTACAAAAAAACTTTCATACATGTGGCCTAAAGTCCGTCAGATTAGATGATAGACACCACCCAGTGGTCTGATGTGCTCTAAGCAAACAACTGTTTGATTTTGTTGTTTTACATGTTCAACTTGAGTTAAAGGAAACTAAATAAATGGACAGAAAATATATTTTTTATGGTCGTTCACCAGCGGCTGCAGGAGTTTAAAGAACATTACATTAGTTCAGTTCAAAATGACACCAAAACCAGTAACATCCTACTTTAACACAAAAACTGATTTTATTATATTTTATATACAGTACATGTACAAAATGTCAACAGTAACCCAACATTTTTCAGTCAGGTCATCTGGACAGTTTCTTTTTTCTTTTTTGTGCAGAAACGTTTCACCTTTGACCCGGAAGGCTTCATCAGTCAAGGAAACACACAACAAAACTGATTCTTCCCCCAACTGCTTACTCCAAAGTGGAACAAACCAGTTATGTTGGTGCTAAGGTGGTGTCTTTAACACGCCCCCTCCTCCGGTGCCGGCCCTCTCCCTTGTCAACAGTCATGTCAAACTGGTTCAACACCAACAAAGTCCATGCTCAATAATCCAGGTATACAATCTGACTGAAAAATGTTGGATTGTATACCTGGATTATTGAGCATGGACTTTGTTGGTTATGTCAACAATAAGTTTGTGTTTGCGTGCAGAATTCCAAAGAGAAAAGATTGGATTTAAGAGATCGTCAAAATGAAGAAGTGGAGGAAAACAACAAGCAGAAGAAACCACCAGGATGAAGGTGATAATCAGGGACTGACTTTGGGCCAGTACACCATCAGGTTGGTGTACTTGTTTCTGCTGGAGTGGTTAAAGGTCCAAGCTTTGGCTCGAACTACACGCTGCTGGTTGAGTGTCTTGGATGAGGCAGCAGAGGGTGGATAGACTTTCAGCTAAGAAGCCACTTTGCTCTGTCTTCAATGTGACACTACTTGTGCCTTTCTGCCTTATTGGTTATATGGTTCCTCAGTAGACATGGTGTTGGGACTATAGACTCTGTTCACCTTCAGATTTTAACAAGTCCTGCAACATCTGCTCAAGAAAATGATTGTTTTGGACACTCTGGATGGTTAAATCATGTTACTGCATCTAAATGTGTCCGTTCATGCCAACTTCATTGCTTTTGGGTTCTAAATACCTGCGTCTTTATAAATACATCTCGTCAAAAAATGACTATGGGGTCCAAGTGCTACAACATCAACTCCAGCAATTATACTTTAGTCACAAAGAACATCCAGAAATAATTGATTATGATGCTTTTATAGTTGTCTGGGATTCAGCCTAATCCTGGTCCTATCACATCATGCAGTACTCCAACAGACTTTGAAAACATGTCAGGATTACATATTGTGCACATAAATGCTCGTAGCCTCCTTCCTAAAATAGATATGCTGAGGGTAAGGGCTTGTTCAACTGGTGCAGATATTATTGTTATTTTTGAGACTTGGTTAACTAAATCTATTCTGGACAAAGATGTATCAGTTGATGGCTTTAATATATGTCGTTCATATCATCCAAGAAAGGGAGGAAGTGTGGCAATCTATGTCACATCTAAACACAACGCTTTGCAACAAGAACTGAAGCTGTCCGCTTTGATTTCTTTAAGGGATTTTAAAAGTCTGATAGGTTCATTAGAAATATCAAAGCAAACTGGTTTTTTTTAGTATTTTACCTTGTTTTATAAGGCACCTTGATTTTATTGTTATTATAACACTACTTTTTATTTTAATTGCATTTTATTGTCTGTACTTTACATTATCTGTTGTCTGTCTAAAACAGGCCTCTTGAAAATGAGTCCTCGGGACTCAATGGGACTAATCTGTAAAAATGTTGAATGAAAAAAGTTTGTTAGACCAAAACAGATCCACTTCCTTTAAAGATTGTGATTTTTTCTTTTATAAAAGAGCTGGACGTCGCACAGGAGACAAAACTGCTGGAGAATTATGAGATTAGTTATGGCCGATTTGGTCAAACTTTGTATTTTAATTTGGTGTAAAAAATATGTCAAATAATTAAGAATGTTTTCAGAAACACTTTGAGGCAAAATTTAATATTCAGGTTCAAACAGTGCATATGATGTCAAATTAAACAGACCTAATGTAGTTTTTATTTTTTTTATTTTTTTTTCATGGAAGATTTGGCATTTGTTTTATGCCGGATGTCTTTTGTGATGCAACCTGGACTCAAACCTGCAGCCTCAGGATTATGAGACCACAGCACTGATACCTACTGGACCTGCTCTATTTTTTCACAGTAACAACCAAATAAAAAATGAAAATGTAACAATTCACAAAAAGCAGAGCTCTATTTGTGAGAAGTATTGACTTAAACAACTCCGACTGTTAGAAAAGATTTGTCTTCAAATGTTTTCAACTCGGCCCTGCGACTCATCGAACCCTAATCCTCATTCTTCCACTTCCTGTTTGTCAGCACGAGGAACCGACAGTAAACTTCAGGCCTTACAGGACGCATGTGCATCAAATTAAAGTACAGTTTGTGAGTCTGCAGTGAGGAAGTGGCCCTCAGAGGAAGCTGTGCAAATCTGACTGCTCATTTAACACGTCACTCTCAGACTTTTATTGTGGTTTATGTAGTTTTATTTTAAAGCAGCTTGAAGTTTAACTGCTGAACACAAGGTGGCGCCAGTCTCTAAGAGTCTGTTGGTGTCTCACCTCCTCCAGCTGGCTGTGGACATGCTGAACGATCAGATCAATGGCCACCATGTTCCCCCCACCTGAAATGGAGACAGACTGAGGTTCCTGCTTCCAGCAGGTGAAACATGACGTGCACAGTGTTTCTACCTCTTGGCACCACGATATCAGCCAGTCTCATGGTTGGTTCGATGTACTGCTCAAAGGCCGGCTTCACAAACTTGTTGTACTGCTTGATGACGCCTTCGATGTCCCGCCCGCGCTCCGTGATGTCCCTGCGGAGGCGGCGCACCAGTCGGATGTCTGAGTCTGTGTCCACAAAGATCTTCATATCCAGGAGCTGCAGAAAGAAGAAAACACCTCAGAGCGGTTCAATCCCTTCAGCAAGACGGCTGCGGAGTTCTCTCCAAAAGAACGAAGCAAAGGCCTCACCTGAAGCAGCTCTTTGTCTGCAAAAGCCATAATTCCTTCCAGAACGATAACACTGGCTCCATACACGTTTTTCTACAAGAAAGTAGAAGAAGAAAGCTGTCCATGTCTCGTTTCACCTTCTAACAGAATCAAACGTGAAAACATGCTTTAAGAGCAGACATTTAATGTTAGGCTTTCTTCCTCCCGATATCTAATTATGAAGCATATTTTATTACTCCTCTGTGGAGACTAGGCTATGTGCAGACGATAAAATCAGCGCACCCAGTCTTTCTGCCTCCTGTGCGTGGTGAAATCATACACGGGGATCTTCACACTCTTCCCCTGCTTCAGTTTTCTCAGCGTGGCGACCAGCAGCTGGAAGTCGAATGCTCCTGGATGGTCAAAGTTGTAGTCGTTGTTTGCTGCCAGGACCTGCTCCTCGGGGGACAAACCCTGAAGGAGCAAACACACAAACGCACCATGTGATGGGTTCAATAACAACTTGGTTCTGTTTCTGTTCCGTAGTCTGAAGCATCGCCACAAAAATCAGAACGAGCACTGTGAAATGATGATTACTGCACAGTGCTGTGAGGAAACTTTTCCCTTTCAAGAGGATCATTCTATCATATCAGTCCATACTCAGATAACAAGAATAAAAGCAGAAACCATTCAAGGTTCAAGGTTCTTTACTGTCATCCGCATCACATGTGGTACATGGAACAAAATTGTGCACTCAAGGTCCCAGTTACACCCCAAAATAGCAAAAATATAAAGAATAAAAAGAAACAGTAAACAAGGATTTAAGATAAACTTTTTTTTTCTTCTTTCGGCTGCTCCCTATTTTAGGGGTCGCCACAGTGAACTAAGTCGCACGAAAACTTGGCAGTTATTTTTTTTACGCCGGACGTCCTTCCTGACGCAACCACAGACCACCGAGCTACCACAGCCCTCTGTGTGGAGCAGAGAGCTGATATCTAGGACACCCGGAGAAGCAGATGGTGGGGGTTAAGGGCCTTGCTCAAGGGCCCAGGGTGGGACGAATGAGGGTGGGGGCAGGTGTGGATGCTTCACCTACCCCACCCACATTTTTGATGTTGTCAGTACTGGGGCTTGAACCGTCGATCTTCCAATCACAGGCCCACCTTCTCGAACCTCTGCGCCACCACTCCCCATCTAAGATATATAATAAACACTAATAATGTAATATCATATGATGTATTACAACAGCAGCCTAAACATGAGTCTATTGTGAGCAGATGGGCATGAATACAAAAGCTTAAAGGCAAGAAATCAGTAGCACAGATAAGTCACATCTTCTTCTTTTTCTTCTTTTGGCTTTTCCCTCTTTAGAGATCTCCACAGTGAGTCATCCTCCTCCATCTCACTCTGTCCTCTGCATCTTCTGTCCTCACTCCAACTATGTCCATGTCCTCTCCAACTCAATCCAAATATCTCCTCTTTGACCTTCCTCTTTGTCTCTTTCCTGGCAGCTGCATTTCTAACAGCATTATACCCACTGTCCCCCCTCTGGACGTGTCCAAATCATCTCAGTCTGGCCTCCCTAACTTTAGCTCCTTTTCCACCGCTCCTACTCAGCCCTACTCGGCTCTGCTCTGCTCAGATCAGTTCGTTACACAATGCATTTCCACTGCACTTTCAGGACTGGTTCTGGAGACGTGTCCAGAATCCAAGTAGCCTTACCACCTGGTGCCGGTAGTGCTCCCTTAAGCTATTTACTAGCTACCACTGGAAGAAGAAGACCCTGAAAAGATACACAACCAAAATGGAGGATCTCATTGCTTTATTGAACATTCTGCTCAGTCTGTGACTTTTTGTCAAACGTCAAAGGGAAGAGACCCAGAAAAAGTCTGTGGGCAGCGAGGCAAAAGACTCTGGAGAAGAACAGGGGGGTGTTGGAAAAGATTATATGACGAGTGATGGTAAGCTAATGCTAATTTGCTATAGAGCCAGGCATAAAAGTATGAACCGGTAAACGTCCTGCTAATGAACTTTTAATGAACTTTAGTTCACCGAGCGAGAGTTCTGCGATGGAGTTAAACTCATGATGAACCAGATTCTATAAAAACACCTGTATTAAAATTGTTATATTTTTCTTTATCATTTGATGTATTTGCACTCATTGTGTCTACTTTTATTGTTTAATTTAGTTGTGTGGTTTTGTTTCTTGTACAGATTATTTTATTTTAGCTTTGATTTAAAGTGTAATTCGTGTTTTGTGATTTGTACGTCTGTGGGTTAGAATAAAGTTGAACCAAAGGCTGCATCTCTTCTTTAAACATGTTTGAGGGAAATATTCATGAGAGATACAATAATTTTGTATTTTTATGATTTTTCAGCTGAGTTAACTTTAATTAACAGATTATTAATAAAATCAAAGTGAAAACATGATTTCATGATAAAGCTGGCACCGTTTATTTATTTTTAATCTTCACTGATAAAAAAAAAAAAACATTATTTTTTATACATAAAATGTTTTTTTGGGTTTTTTTTTGTAAGTTTCCACTCTCCGTCCCAGCTTCAATGGGTCGGCAGCTTGTATGATCCTCCGCGGTGACTAGCTCTCTGAATTTTTTCGTCAGTCACCAAACACAAAAAAACGCCCGGACTTCAGCATTCGACCACGGTGTTGTCATTATTGTTTTTAAAATCTTAAAAATAGGTCCATCCGCTGCTCCGAGTTCTGAGTAATTGCAAATGGAGGATCGGTGAAAAGGTTCTGCGAGATCCAGTGACTCCTCCCCCTGAGCAATCAGTGACAGACAGTGTTCTGACGTCACGTTTAGGTGCTGGCTCAGCTCGCTTGGTCCCACCAGAGAAGCAGGGACAAAAAAAGAGGCAGAATCAGCTAAAAAGTGACAGTGGAAAAGCGAGTGAAAAAGAGCCAAGTTGGGGCTGAATAAGAGCAGTGGAAAAGGGGCATTTATCTCCCAGTTGTTCAACTTGTGCGCTACCTCTGATGATCGCTTTCCAAATCTTATCCAGCCTTGTCACTCCTAAGGAGAACCTCAACATATTTATCTCTGCCACTTCCAGTTCTTTCTACTGTCTTTTTGTCAATGTCACTGTCTCCAGACCATACAACATAGCTGGTTTCACAACTGTCTTATACAGGTCCTTCTCAAAAAATTAGCATATTGTGATAAAGGTCATTATTTTCCATATTGTAATGATAAAAATGAAACTTTCATATATTTCAGATTCATTGCACACCAACTGAAATATTTCAGGTCTTTAATTGTTTTAATACTGATGATTATGGCATACAGCTCATGAAAACCCAAAATGCCTGTCCCAAAAAATTAGCATATTTCATCCCACCAATGAAAGACAAGTGTTTTTAATACAAAACACGCCAACCTTCAAATAATCATGTTCAGTTATGCACTCAATACTTGGTCGGGAATCCTTTTGCATGAATGACTGCTTCAATGCGGCGTGGCATGGAGACAATCAGCCTGTGGCACTGCTGAGGTGTTATGGAGGCCCAGGATGCTTCAATAGCGGCCTTAAGCTCATCCAGAGTGTTGGGTCTTGAGTCTCTCAACTTTCTCTTCACAATATCCCACAGGTTCTCTATGGGGTTCAGGTCAGGAGAGTTGGCAGGCCAATTGAGCACAGTAATACCATGGTCAGTAAACCATTTATCAGTGGTTTTGGCACTGTGAGCAGGTGCCAGGTCGTGCTAAAAAATGAAATCTTCATCTCCATAAAGCTTTTCAGCAGATGGAAGCATGAAGTGCTCCAAAATCTCCTGATAGCTAGCTGCATTGACCCTGCCCTTGATAAAATAGTGGACCAACACCAGCAGCTGACATGGCACCCCAGACCATCACTGACTGTGGGTGCTTCACACTGGACTTCTGGCATTTTGGCATTTCCTTCTCCCCAGTCTTCCTCCAGACTCTGGTACCTTGATTTCCGAATGACATGCAAAATTTGCTTTCATCCGAAAAAAGTACTTTGGACCACTGAGCAACAGTCCAGTGCTGCTTCTCTGTAGCCCAGGTCAGGTGCTTCTGCCGCTGTTTCTGGTTCAAAAGTGGCTTGACCTGGGGAATGAGGCACCTGTAGCCCATTTCCTGCACACGCCTGTGCACGGTGGCTCTGGATGTTTCTACTCCAGACTCAGTCCACTGCTTCCGCAGGTCCCCCAAGGTCTGGAATCGGCCCTTCTCCACAACCCTCCCCAGGGTCCGGTCACCTCTTCTCGTTGTGCAGCGTTTTCTGCCACACTTTCCCTTCCCACAGACTTCCCACAGAGATGCCTTGATACAGCACTCTGGGAACAGCCTATTCGTTCAGCAGTTTCTTTCTGTGTCTTACCCTCTTGCTTGAGGGTGTCAATGATGGCCTTCTGGACAGCAGTCAGGTCGGCAGTTTTACCCATGATTGCGATTTTGAGTAATGAACAAGGCTGGGAGTTTTTAAAAGCCTCAGGAATCTTTTGCAGGTGTTTAGAGATATGTCGTTGATTCAGATGGTTAGGTTAATAGCTTATTTAGAGAACCTTTTCATGATATGCTAATTTTTTGGGACCGGCATTTTGGGTTTTCATGAGCTGTATGCCATAATCATCAGTATTAAAACAATTAAAGACCGGAAATATTTCAGTTGGTGTGCAATGAATCTGAAACATATGAAAATTTCATTTTTATCATTACATTATAGAAAATAATGACCTTTACCACAATATGCTAATTTTTTGAGAAGGACCTGTAAACTTTTCCTTTGACCTTTGCTGACACATTTTTGTCGCAATTCACTCCTGAAACTTTTCTCCATCCATTCCTTCCTGCCTAGACTCTCTTCTTCACCTTTACCGCATTCCCCATTTCCCTGGACAGTGGACCCCAAGTACTTGAAGTCCTGAACCTTTGTGACCTCTGCTCCTTGTAGCCTCACTGTTACACCGGCCTCCTTCTCATTCACACACATGTGCTCTGCCTTACTACACCTGGCTTTCATTCCTCTTCTTTCAAGTGCGTACAACCACCTCTCCAAGTTCTCTTCCACCTCTTTCCTGTTCTTACCACAAATTACAATGTCATCTGCAAACATCATAGTACAAGGGAATTCATTCCTGACCTCATCTGTTAGTCGGTCCATCGCCAGAGCAAACTAGAAGGAGCTCAGAGCCAATCTTTGACGCAATACCCCCCCCCCACCACCACCACCTTGAAGCTATCTGTCACTCCTACAGCACATCTCACCACTGTCCTGCTGTCCTCATACATGTCCTGTACCAGTCTAACATACTTCTCTGCCACTTCATATTTCCTCAAGCAATACCACACCTTCTCCCTTAGCACCCCGTCATATGCTGGACTGTACTTCATCAGCATCTGCAAAGAAAAGATGGCATCTGTGGTGCTCTTTCATGGCAAGAAACCATACTGCTACTTACAAATAGTCACCTCTCGTCTAAATCTAGC